TGAACCGCTTTTCTACGAGGAGGAAAGTCAGCGTGCATCGCGGTAGGGCTGATGCAGTATTTCCGAATTGCATTATCGTGTAATTTGCGCAAGCTGTTACGTCTCCGATAACGAATCTCATTTCGATGGGATGCAAGCTTTCGAACTTCGACTGCAAAGCTGTGTATGTGCTTTGGGTTTCCACGTGTTGCATGCGCCTCTCGTGCACAGTCATTAACATCTCCTTACTTAATCAAACATACTCAACTAACTGCAGGTAATCACCGGTTTCGAAGCAGATTGGAATCAATTTAGAGGCAGAACGATTTAATTAGCAATTTGATCGCAGTAGAAGAATGAGTTTCATTGTACTAATTGTCTATTCGATTTCGGGTGATGGAATGTGAAGGTTTAAGTAAAACTTTAACAAGAGGTTTTTATTCGTAAAAGAGAACTAAGTGTCAGGGGGAGTGAACAAGAATTCAGCTGTTGAGCTGTGTTTGAAATTGCATAGTGTCTTAAATACTATAGCTCTGTGGTAGGGAGAGGATGTTTGCGGGCCTTATTGTTACTACAGAATGAGTAAGTAGGAGTTTGGACTTTAGAAAAAATACGGGTGACCAAGTTAGCTATCCAACATGTCTGTACAATGAAATTATAGTACAATTGAAATTAACATGGCGCTGAATAGGTTTCCTCTAGGTAGCTGAGACATGAAGCATCTTACTTCGGGTGTCAAGTGCACAATTTAAATTCTTTCTCCAACTTTGTTAGAGAAAGTGTTATGCTAAAGCTTCAGAATGATATTTGGTAAGTTCTCAGTTTAAGTACGTTATGTAAAGTAGACATTTCCTACATACACAATGAGTAACGAAAATATTTGAACGATACAGTCCTGTGTAAATTCCTCGAATAAATTTTCTAAATAAACATCATGCACTATAGAAATTATTATAAAAATACATAATATATTTTTATTATTATTAAATTAGTTGTATTTTCGTAAATTATTTATTATCTTGAAGAAAATATACTGTTCTAAACGATCAGTATATTAGAAATGATACTATGGGCGGTCCTTTTGCGATAGTGAGGCGCAAAAAATGAAAAAGAAGACCTTCATCTTTTTCGTACAATACTGAAAACTAATTTTATTTTTATGAAAAATTTTTCCGAATTTATACGCTATACTAACGGGCGCCAATGGCTGGAATGTATACTTCTCTTTTTTGGGACCTTTCTTTATTTAAATATTTTAAAGCCGCAAGAAAATTGCTTTTACAAATATAAGTATGTGATACATATTTCTTAAAGATCTAAATTTTGTTAGGCAAACTCGATATGATAGTGCTTTAGAAATAAAGATGAATAACTTTGTGAGGGTGATCAAGAATAAGATCTACGCTAAACAACTGTACTTACTGATAAAGTGTGACCATTTAAATGAAATAAGCAAATACATCGAGTGTTCTCAAGATACTGAGATTAGAGCGCGCAATTATTCCGGCTGATCTGAATCCCTCAGTCGAATTAGTTGACTAGAAGAATAAACGGAATTATTACGAGGAAGCAAAATAGAGCACTAAAGAAAGACCGTTTAAAAGTATTCATGTAACAATCATTAATGTGGTACAAGAATTTCTTTATTTTTCAATATACTTATATAAATCCTTTCTTAAGAAGTTGTTGACAATTTTCTAATACAAATAAGTCCAAATACGACCTTACTCAAACCATTTTTAATTATACAAAATGTAACCTATAATTAAATAATTGATATAATTAACTGATTTACATTCATTCGAATTAAGGATTACTAAAAATTATCCGAATATTTGGTCTTGTTGTAACCAGGAAAATCTTACTAATACATTCGGAATACTTTCTTCCCTAGTAGCAATTATTGTTGGCATTTTGATGGGCCTTTGATGCAGTATTGGTTGGCGAACAGTTAGAATTGTCACCTTTTTTTGCAACTGGGTCCACGATTATACCCAACATAGGGCCCACGTCACTATAATACGGAAGGCCAACTGGAGGTTTCTTTCTGTAGGGTCAATTGTTGAGTATCTACAATACACCAATAATAGGAAGACAGTTGGCTATACTACACTTCCATAAAATCATTTTAAAATATTTAAAAGAGTATAACACTGGAAATAATATTTATAATAATTACTTGTTATAATAATAACATACATGTATAAATTGTATATGTATATTAAACAGGTAAACAAGTGTTGTACCAGGAAAGTTACCTTTACAATTTATTATGTACAATTTATACATGTAGCTAATTATTACAAATAATTATTATAAGTTATTTCCAATCTTCTGTCCCCTGACCCTATTTTCACAAAATTTCAAATGTAAAATGTGTTGCGCGACAGTAATAAATTGCAAGTATATTCATAAATAAGAAAACAAAAAA